GTTTCCGGTTAACGACATCTCATTTCTGAGTTATGCCGAGGGCTCGGCCACTGATATCATCCAACGGCCACAAGAGGCCCGATATTATAGGTTTGTCATCGAAGAGGCGTCCGATACTAACCGCGAATACGATCAGTTCGTTGCCGTCAGACTCGAGTTCTTTGGCTGCTATGTAGACGCCGACGAAACCTCAAGTAATTATTATTTTCAGTGATTGTAAGTTTGAAAACTCATTTAAATTGAAACTTTTGTTTCATTAAAGACATGACGTGCACAGAGAGACCCAACACATGGTTTTCAGACTCTAACGAACGACTCAATCGACACTTTTCAGCCGATTCTTATAACAATGTTATCTATTTCTGTGATTCCACATCAGATATGAAGTATTTTATAAAATACACTTTTCATTGTATTATTTGATTTTAACTGTAATACATCTATAGCCATCAGGTGTGCTATTACTCCAACTCTGGGGGCAGTACTTGGAATATAATCGGCCGATCGATTGATACCATTCAAGGCTATGAACTCTCATCGGGAAAGATCTTTGCCATCGATTCTGAACGACCGGCATATCTGAGCTCAAAAGATGGTCTCAAATGGACGCCTGAGACATATGAGGCTTTCAATCAGAGCGTATCGCACCATAAATTTCAGCACAAAGTCATAGTACCGGCGCTCCATAAGGAGGGGTTGAGGCGAATGAACCTAAAAGTTGGAAACTGGAAAGGTTGATCACATACTTATATTAAATTGTTTCTGAACATTTGTTAATTGATTGAATTTATTTAAATAGCACTTCACGACGGTTTGTACTTTGAGGACAGCAGTGTTCCCAAAGCCTATTGGAATAAATGCTGCAAAATGTGAACTCAAATGTTTCAATCAACTTATATGAATCTTGTTTTGTTTTAATCACTTTTATGAATTGATAAAATATGTAATTTTTGTTATATAAATACTGAGTCTATATTTTCAAACTTTTTAGTTTTTGTTAATTAGAATGCAAGCTAATCTGTGATAGAATTTAGTAAAAATTCTTATGATTTTACTTTTATTTATTAACATATAAATTTATTTTTTAAAATCGATAATAAATTCTTAAACAAAACACCAAAATTATTTATTTAGTATTTAAATTATGTAAAACAGAATTAATCAATAAAAATATTTATCATAAGCATCCGTTTATTATAGAACCGTTTGATTATTTTAAGTACAGAATATTCTAAATGTATAATTTATAACTTTAAGTTATTGTTTATGAAAAAACATTATAGAATTAATCAATAAAAATATTTATCATAAGCATCCGTTTATTATAGAACCGTTTGATTATTTTAAGTACAGAATATTCTAAATGTATAATTTATAACTTTAAGTTATTGTTTATGAAAAAACATTATATAACACTATTCTTATGATGTGTAGAAAATAAAAAACAATTATTTCATTTTTCCGGGGCTGTTTGTCCAATTAGTTTTGTTTCATTAGCCTTTTGATTATTATTTGGATTGATTACCAAACGGTTATTTAATTGATCACTTGAAGGTGCAAAACATGTGAAGTAATACATTATAAGAATTATTATCGACATTACAATTAAGAATAATAGAAATGAGCCAAAAGAGAAACCAAGGATTTGCCAAATATGGACATCCGGTTTGGGATACCGATTACTCATTAAGACATTCATTGACTTATTAAATTAGATTCATTTAATTGTCAAACGGTTTTGTCATTTTAAACAACAATTAAAAGATAAAGCATTTTAACTGTAGTTTGTTTGATTATAAGTTACTTTATAGTTATTAATTTTTCTACGGTATATATTTTTATCTAAAACTTGCAAGTTAGTAATTTTGAAATTGTGATAATTTTTTTATTATATCTTAAAATTTTATTTACATATTTGATACTGAATATATTTGTAAATTCGATACAATACTTGATAAAATATAAAATTTAATTTAATCCAAACAATTTGATGACATGTATTTAATAACAAAATAGTTTTTAACATATTAAATAATTTACAATATTTATATTTTGTTTTCAATTAAACATACAATCATTGAAATTTTCAATTTGAAAAGTCACCCGTCGGTAGAGTATATGCACTGAGAAATGAATCACAAATTTCAAGAAACATAACTTAGTTTTTGTTTTTCAGATGAGAGAAACATTTATAGCAAAAAACACTCAAATTGAGAACAACTCATAAAAAGCAATCTTAGAAATGAACATTAATTGTGAAATAT